ACTTTTTGAAAAACCAAAAACAGCCAGCTGGGGCTTTTTTGCCGCGCTGCGGCAGCGACCCTTACATTCCAATACATTGAATAAAAACAAGTTACATATACAACATATAGATCATATAATATCCAAAACAATAAACACTAAGTGTTTATTGATTCACTAATATATCCAAAGAGCACCTCTCGTATGAGTCTTGAATCCCAAAAAAAGATCCCCATATACAACATTTCCGCGATAATGAGTACTGGGTATGCCCATTTCAACAAAAGTAGCATCAATAATTACTCTTCCGCTTAAAGGCACAAGGGTTTCGTTTTCGGTCTTGTTGACAGTTTCTTTTCGTTTTTTCTCCACTATCGTTTCATCTGGCACCTCCGTACTCAGTTTTAGTCGCCATACCTCATATAAGCCCCGCCTTTGCCTTTTAGTATCCTGGCATTCGATGCGTGGCGGCTGTTTACAGATATCGCTTTAATTCCGCACTTCACTGCGCTTATCAAACAGTGAGCCACAGCCAAGATAGGCAGCCTATGCAACGGTCAGCCAACGCATTTCAACGAAACAGCTTACAATTAGTTTAGCGGTGGAACAAGGTTGCCCATTTTTCATGGCGCGTAGCGTGCGGAGTGCTCACCGTGTAAAGGAAATCCCGATGTTACACTTCAATCAAATGACCTGTCTTCAACCTACCTGAGAAGTATTTGAATTTCCACGAAGCTCTTCAATGCAAGGCCAGGGTCAATATGCTGATATGATTAGCGAGTGAAAAGCGAAAGTAGTGATGCGAAGCGAACCACTAATGGAAAAAAGGAAAAAGTACACTGCGACGCATAATTATAGTTCCACCTACAAATTTCCCAAAAACTTGAATCTGAAGATGTTTTCGGAAAAGGCTCTACAGAGGAATTGTGACACATATAAACGCTGTTCTGAATATCAACACAGAATTCCAGTTGAGGAAGCAACAATTTTTTATTTCATTTTTCTGAAAATACTTTGCCAATGGCGCAAAATCATAGTTCCACCACATGTTTCTCTGCTGCATTTTGCTTTTACCCAATCAAATTTTGAAATTATTATCCCTTTAGGTTGTTAGGTTATTGCAAAAGCGAAACCGCTGCCAGAATTCGTAAAGGAAAATCCTAGCAAAAGAGGCGCATTAATTGCCGAAGTGTCAGTTCACGCTGGAAATTGGTCGGGGTCACCTCATAACGAACAATTTCGTCGAGAATCCTACAGTATATGATATTGTAAGGAACCCTGATTACTATCTGACCGAGATAAGCGCCGTATCATAAGAAAATAATACAACTTTATCAAGCTGAGTACGGAAATCAAAACTTCTTCTAAAAGTTAATGTCTCAATGAACGCAATTCAACGTGTTTCCCAAAGTCCTTATGATAGTCCATGTCTGGAAAATACGAAATATGATTCTTATGGAACGAAATCACAGTGACACTCATCCATGTGTGAGCTTTGATTGTGACTTTCTTCCTCTTAACGTTTTTTCTTCTCAGTGAAGTGAACAGGAACAGTGAGTGGAATAGTGAACACGTGTGGTGAGGAAAATATCAGAGGTATGGCCAAAGATTTCAAAATACCACACTAAAAAAGTGTCACCACTTCACTCGACTTGGCGGAATTTTCCAAGGAAAATGGCTCGTTTTTCTCTAGGATTTCTTTTCACAAGAATAATATTTCTTATTTTCCAGACATGGACTATCATGAGCACTTTGTAAAACACGTGAACTGCGTCCATTGAGACACTAACTTTTGAAGAAGTTTTGATTTCCGTACCCGGCTGGATAAAGTTGTATTATTTTCTCACGATACGGCGCTTATCTCGGTCGGATAGTAATCAGGGTTCCTTACAATATCATATCCTGTAGGATTCTCGACGAAATTGTTCGTGTTTGGTGTCCCCGACCAATTTCCAGCGTAAACTGACACTTTGGCAGTCAATATGCCTCTTTTGCTAGGATTTTCCTTTAACGAAATTCTGGCAGCGTTTTCGCTTTTGCAATTACCTATGTGACCTATGGGGATAATAATCTAAAAACTTGATTACGAAAAAATAAAGTGCAGCGGAAAAACATGTGGTGGAACTATAATTTAAGGCCATCCAGAGCGAGCATTTTCAGAAAATGAATTAAAAAATGGTTGCTACCTCGATCTGAATTTCTGCATTGATATTCAGAACAGCGTTTATATGCCTCACAATCCCTCACTGGAACCTTTTCCGAAAACGTCTTCATGTACAAGTTCTTGGGAAATTTGTAGGTGGAACTATAATTTTGCGCCATGGCAGAGCGAGTATTTTCAGAAAAATGAATAAAAAATTGTTGCTTCCTCGAACTGGAATTTCTGTATTGATATTCAGAACAGCGTTTATATGCCTCACAATTCCTCACTGGAACCTTTTCGAAAACATCTTCAGATCAAGTTTTTGGGAAATTTGTAGGTGGAACTATAATTATGCGTCGCAGTGTACATGTGTACATATAATCAGAAACCTAGAAAAATGTTAACCCCCCTGCTCTACAGTGTCAAGAAGTCTTAGAGCCAGAAAGCGCATCAACAGGTCATGTCGCGAAGAGGAAATATAAGTACGAGTCGAGAGAGCATAACAGATTAACATTGCGCCGCAGACAAAATGTTAGAGCTCCGAGTGCTACTCTTCGCTACCCTACCTTCACAGTTGCTCACCTAGCATATACATCCACGGAAGGCACCCCATCAGTGAGGCTGACCCAATCTTTACCTTTGAAGGGAACCAAGTAAGGGATAGTCTGGAAGCCTATTGAAAATATTGGCACGTATCTGCTACGTAAAAATCTTGAGCGAGTTTTGAGCTGCCCAAGTTGAAGAATGGAGAGCATCAATCAATGCAGCGAACTATTCTCTATGCAATCAATGTGGCCGCAGACTAGTGGTGGCGTTCTCGCTCTCCAGGCCGTCTGTCTTGTATCTTTTATAGTGCACAGATATTACACTCCATCTTTTATGCCCAAGACAGTTTTAGAAGGAGATCAGATGTCGTTGAATGTTAGGCCATTTTCGATGTCTGATATCAGCACTCCCTGCAAGATTTCAACGAATTTTTTTGAAAAAAAATTGTGGCGTCGCTCAGCCGTCATCATAGAAGAAAGTTTCATATCCAACACCAAAGCCAGTGCACCCACTAATCCTACTGACAAGTTCTAGGGAAAAATCAGTTTCCGGTCTGATACGGAGAAAGTCAACATTCGCGAACTCATCATCAACTAG